GATAATGAGAACTTTCAAAAAAGAGAGATGCCAAGCCCATGATGATCCTTTTCAAATCACTTGTTCTCTCTAGGCTGGAATACTGCTGTACATTAACATCTCCATTCAAAGCAGGTGAAATCGCAGATCTAGAGAGTGTACAGAGATCCTTTACTGCACGTATACGTTCTGTCAAGCACCTTAACTACTGGGAACGCTTGGAAGCACTTGACTTGTACTCGTTGGAACGCAGGAGGGAGAGATATATCATAATCTACACTTGGAAAATCTTGGAAGGAATGGTCCCAAATCTGCACACAGAAATCACTCCCTACGAAAGTAAAAGACTGGGCAGGCGATGCAAAATGCCCCCAATAAAAAGTAGGGGCGCCATTGGTACGCTAAGAGAAAACACCATAAGTGTCCGGGGCCCAAAACTGTTCAACAGCCTCCCATCAAGCATTAGGGGAATTGCCAATAAACCCCTGGCTGCCTTCAAGAGAGAGCTGGACAGATACCTAAAGTCAGTGCCGGATCAGCCGGGCTGTGGCTCGTATGTTGGACTGCGTGCGGCCAGCAGTAACAGCCTAGTTGATCAGGCCCTGATCCATCGGGAGGCCTGGTCATGGACCGGGCCGCGGGGGCGTTGATCCCCGGAATAACCTCCAGGTAACCACCAGTTTACACAGAACAAGAAAAGGGTAAGAAGTCTCCGGGCCCTAGGCTATTCAGATTGGTGGGGCCCCTTTGAGTTACAGGTAAGGGAAGCGACCCCTTCCAGCTTGGGGGTGGGGGGGGGGGTCAGTGTGAGCCTGTTTAAGGTCTAATTAAATACATTCTGGCTATTTAGATTAAATTTAATAGGGAAAGTACATCAAGACAACCAAAACCATTTACCAACAGCCATTATAACTATCTTGTTAAATCATGCATTTTGAAGAGAATAAACTCAAGACAGCATAGTATTACTAGATTAGGCTATTAAAGTAGTGACATCATGTACCTATTATATTCAGCATAACCACTACAGCACTATTATTCCCTTTATAAATCACTGACCATTATTGTTATCATTGCATCATGCATAAGACTATCAAATCATATAAACTACAGAAAATTGGAGAGGAATCTCCCATACTCGCCCATTAGCGGGAAAACACAGCTGTTCTGATGTAAACAAAGACGTGTTGAGTGTTGCCATCCATGGTTAGGTTTATTTATTTTTATTTTATTTTATTTCAGTATTTATTTTTGTTTTGATTAATTTTTAAAAATCCATTTTACTCTCCAAACACTTGAACTTTTTAGGTAGGGACCCCTTTGCACTTGCACCATGTGCACAGTCTTGGATGAGCCCCTGAACCCCTTGGACCGCGGGGCCCCCAAATGCGCGGGGCCCTAGGCAAATGCCTAGTTTGCCTATGTGGTAATCCGGCCCTGAGGTATATGTATACGGGTTGGAGAGAGGTCGTCAAGTCACAAGTGAGTGTCCAGCCGAGTAAGTGAGGTTAGGTGATAAGGAATTTGACACACAAAGTATGGAGGTTCGGTGAGCGCGTTATTAGGTATTGGTCCTGGAGAGTGAAGCGTTGCTTCACTCTCCAGGACCTTCACCAAGCTTGACAAAACCATAATATAATGTCACGAGCTGCACATGTGTCCTTTCACCTAACAATAAGTCAGTAAGCCTGTACAGTGTTCCACCATTCTTAAGTTTTTTATATGAACATGTGGTATATATATGGTGACTTATACCTAAGAATAAGTTGAATAACTGATGATTTTCATCGCAGGAGGGGCTTTTGGTAGCTGAATGAAATTATTGAAGGCTGAAGGAAATTTTGAAGCCCCCAAGCTCCCCCTTGGCACCGCCATTGGCATTATGTAATTCTGGCAGTATATCCCCTCAAGGAAGGTTCCTTGATGTTTGTGAGGGGCTCTTGATTTAGGGAATTGGATCTGTGCTCCAGTTCCCCGAATTAAGCCTGAATGCCTTCCAACCCCCCCCCAGGCGCTGTATAATCCTCCGGGTTTAGCGCTTCCCCCTTGATTATAATAATAATAATAATGACAGTATATCGTTGTTCTGTTTACCCCAAAGTCCTTTTTCCTTTATCGATATTTGAGGTTTCTCTGTCCCTGCTGTGCTATGCTCTCCACGTCTCATTGCATTTGTTTGGATTGAATTCCAAAAGTCATTTGCTTGACCACTTATACAGGCTGTTGAGTTCTTGGAGCCAAGCTCTCTACCATTCTTATTCTCATTAAGTATTGCATTATCAGCAAACAGTGACACGTAAGACTTAGTTCCTTTTAGTATTTCGATGACCTGTCAGGAATAGTAATGGTCCTAATACTGATCCTTGCAGTACCCCACTGTTACTATTCCCCATTCTAATGTTTCATTCTTTACTGTTACTCTCTGCTTTCTGCATTTCAGGTACTCGTAGATCCACTGGAACACTACCGTTTAACCTTAGCTGTTCTTCTAATTTTGGACTAATCTCTGGTGGCGTACTGAATCAAATGCTTTCTTGCCATCAAAGAAGATACAAACTACTCATCCCTAACTGGTCATAGAACCATTGCAAGTTCATAAGACTGGGTTTTCCATCCCAAATTTCGTACTATGGTGCATGTTTTGTACTACATGCAGCTACCACCAACAGCTTGGTCATTGTTGCCAACACCCCATTGGTCTGGTCTGAATTCAGGTCACGGTAGTGGTGACCCCCAGTAATATCACACACTTCTAAAAACAGGGCTGCATACTCGGAGGAAGAAAGACATTCAGAATTCCTCTTATGGTCCTAGGATCATAGTGTGGCATGAAGTGGATACAGAGTATTCACAAAAAAAATTATTTTGCAGAAAAGTTAACAATGCAACCTAATCTAATCTTGGTGAAATTGCATGAAATTTAATAAATTAATTTACCAAACCTATTTAAGAATGACGTACCTGTGATTTATTTTCCATGTTTTTTTTTTTGGGGGGGGGGGGGATGTTGCGACACCTGAATGGGTCACAATGTATATAATGTATATTACCTTTTCATATAATTTTATATTGCTTATATTTGCGATAATAGCTAAATCATAAATATATTGCTTTATATTATTATTTGACTTAGTTATATTGTTAGGTAGGATGTAACATATATATACTATATTATTCAGTGCTCATAGTTCAAGTCTTGATTGTCTAACTACTGTAATTATCGCTCGTTGCTAGTTTCCCTGCCGGCTTCTCGGTGTTGCTGGGCAACAACTGTCCACGGAGCAATTACGTGATAGAGGGGGGGTGTTCACACCTCGCCTGGAGTAGTCAGTCTGAGCTAGACTCTTTTGGTGGTTGGACGTATTCCTGACAAGACGTGCCTAACTCTTCCTTATTGGCCCTTGTTGGAAGATCGTCTCTGTCACTTTCTTGTTGTTGGTTCTGTAGAACTCTGTTCACAGAACATTGTCTAGACTTGGTGATTTTCGACGTTGTACTGAGGTTGTGTCACATAAACACTTTGAGCAACTCAGGTCCTGAGCTGTAGCTTCTGACCTAATTTGTACTGGTATCTGTGTACTGTCACAGTCGGGGATTTTCTTATGCTGAACTTAGATTCAGTAGTATGGAAGTTTTGTAACTTTTGTGGAGGATCTGCTGATGGTCCCTACTTAGTGTCGTTATATTATCTCCTTGTTCCTGATTCTGTGTCGCAGTTGCTTGTTATATTGTTGTTCGACTTATCAGTCATTTTATTGTTCAAGCAGACTGTTCTGATTGCCAGGTTGGTCAAGAAGTTGGTTAATGTGAGGACTTTGTCAGTCACTGGATTAAGTCTAGTCGAGTCGTGAGACATAGCAAACTACTTAGAGCACTTACACACATACACACAAACTTATTTGTATATGTATATATATGTATTATTAAATGTTAATGTATCAGACGGTACTTAAGACATAAATGTGATATGTGCCTTCAGCACGAGAGAAGTGATTATTTTGATTATGTTATCAAATTCTAATAATATACGCCTAGACAATTGTTATTAATAAACTTATTAAATTTTAATTTCTTTAGTTAGTAGCCTACTAGTTGTAATCCTGAAGCACTAATAATTCTTATTGAATTCTAAGGGATAATTGGACCAAGATACTGACTACTTGTTACGAAAACCCAGTAACAGGCTGGATGCTAGAAGGGCAGTCCTTTCTAGTATTCACTGAGATCTCTATGCTTATTAGAAATCACATTTTTTGTAACAGGGGATAATGTAGAAGTCATATATTTAGGCAAACCAAAACATAAACATTCACTTATTCTCTTAGAGGCAGTCTCACAACTACAGTAACTGGGCATTACACTTTAAAATTAGTGCAGGTATGAAACAAACTGCTTTGGAAGGTAGACACAAATGTTAATACTGTATATATAAATTGTAAATAAATTTTTTATTGATTTTTTATATATTTTCACACTTTTACCAAGTTTTTTATTAGACTCATTGGACATTTATTTAACAGACTTTGGAAATGTGTGACAAAATTTGCCAGGTCATTTAATTCAGAAACATCAGTTAAAATCCATTGGTTATACAATTATCCATTATTTTTAAATCATGGCACTGCTACAATTGTCCATTATTACAATCTATCCACCACATTTGCAATTATCTGTGACCTGCTTCTGCCTTTCCCCATCAGTCCGGTAAATCAAGGGTTTACTGTACAATAAATATTTACCAAGGTTAGATGTAGTACATTGGTTGTACTAGAGTACAGTGGACCCCCGCTTAACGATCACCTCCAAATGCGACCAATTATGTAAGTGTATTTATGTAAGTGCGTTTGTACGTGTATGTTTGGGTGTCTGAAATGGACTAATCTACTTCACAATATTCCTTATGGGAACAAATTCGGTCAGTACTGGCACCTGAACATACTACTGGAATGAAAAAAGTTCGTTAACCGGGGGTCCACTGTATATTGCATACAGTTGATATAATTTTGCAATATTATCAACAGGTATTGGCACATACAGTTACATCAGCTGGGACCCAGCCGTCTGCATTGGAAAATGCTCGTCAGCTTCTCAGTTACTCCCTCATCCACCCGGCCATCACTGCGGAGGAGCGGCGAGCACTTGCACACTGGCTGCGGACACTGGAAGACAGACTGGCAGAACTCCGGAGACGCCCGCCCAACCTACAACGAGAAGGTAACCTCCAATATATTTAATGCGAATAAAAAATTCACATTATTTTACAAAGTTGGCTACTGTTCATGTGCACTTTTGACTTTCACACTAAACAGTCATTGAGTTAGGAGGCACTTTTTTCCACGTGCTGTTTCCAGTCACTGTTAGTGATTGTCACTGTGTTGCTGATTGTCACTGTTGCTGTTTGTCACTGTGTTGCTGTTTGTCACTGTGTTGCTGTTTGTCACTGAGTAGCTACCAGTCACTGTGTTGCTAACAAATACTGACTTATACAGCAACCTAGGATCTCTTAAATAATGTTATGAGTCATACAAGAAGCGGAAAGATGGCCTGAGAGACAGAGTGTAAGGGAAAATTTTATTAAAAACTTCCAAGATTTCAAGCATGTGCAGAACTAGTATGATTAAATTTTTGCTATAGTCAAAGTGTGTTTTATAACAGGTACTGTATGATCATACAAAAAGAGCCCAGTTGAGGCACCATGAGCTGTAATGAATTTTTATACAAACAACTATAAAATGCCATGTATTTATTCACTTAAAATAGGAAATAAAATAGATATTTTTTCAATATTTATAGTTATTTTATTTGTACATAAATTAAGAGCACTTTAAAGCTGCTTTTATCATAAGATTTAATATTGACTCTGGCTCACACTGATGCTTTTATAAGATTTATTTCCCCTCTCGAAGTGTGAATGAAATATGACCCTCAATGTTGTAAATAATTTTTTTTTTTTTTTTTTTTTTTTTTTTTTTTTTTTATCACACTGGCCGATTCCCACCAAGGCAGGGTGGCCCGAAAAAGAAAAACTTTCACCATCATTCACTCCATCACTGTCTTGCCAGAAGGGTGCTTTACACTACAGTTTTTAAACTGCAACATTAACACCCCTCCTTCAGAGTGCAGGCACTGTACTTCCCATCTCCAGGACTCAAGTCCGGCCTGCCGGTTTCCCTGAACCCCTTCATAAATGTTACTTTGCTCACACTCCAACAGCACGTCAAGTATTAAAAACCATTTGTCTCCATTCACTCCTATCAAACACGCTCACGCATGCCTGCTGGAAGTCCAAGCCCCTCGCACACAAAACCTCCTTTACCCCTTCCCTCCAACCCTTCCTAGGCCGACCCCTACCCCCTTCCTTCCACTACAGACTGATACACTCTTGAAGTCATTCTGTTCGCTCCATTCTCTCTACATGTCCGAACCACCTCAACAACCCTTCCTCAGCCCTCTGGACAACAGTTTTGGTAATCCCGCACCTCCTCCTAACTTCCAAAAATACGAATTCTCTGCATTATATTCACACCACACATTGCCCTCAGACATGACATCTCCACTGCCTCCAGCCTTTCTCGCTGCAAACATTCATCACCCACGCTTCACACCCATATAAGAGCGTTGGTAAAACTATACTCTCATACATTCCCTCTTTGCCTCCAAGGACAAAGTTCTTTGTCTCCACAGACTCCTAAGTGCACCACTCACTCTTTTTCCCTCATCAATTCTATGATTCACCTCATCTTTCATAGACCCATCCGCTGACACGTCCACTCCCAAATATCTGAATACATTCACCTCCTCCATACTCTCTCCCTCCAATCTGATATTCAATCTTTCATCACCTAATCTTTTTGTTATCCTCAAACCTTACTCTTTCCTGTATTCACCTTTAATTTTCTTCTTTTGCACACCCTACCAAATTCATCCACCAATCTCTGCAGCTTCTCTTCAGAATCTCCCAAGAGCACAGTGTCATCAGCAAAGAGCAGCTGTGACAACTCCCCCTTTGTGTGTGATTCTTTATCTTTTAACTCCAGCCTCTTGCCAAGACCCTCGCATTTACTTCTCTTACAACCCCATCTATAAATATATTAAACAACCACGGTGACATCACACATCCTTGTCTAAGGCCTACTTTTACTGGGAAAAAATTTCCCTCTTCCTACATACTCTAACTTGAGCCTCACTATCCTCGTAAAAAACTCTTCACTGCTTTCAGTAACCTACCTCCTACACCATACACTTGCAACATCTGCCACATTGCCCCCCTATCACCCCTGCCATACGCCTTTTCCAAATCCATAAATGCCACAAAGACCTCTTTAGCCTTATCTAAATACTGTTCACTTATATGTTTCACTGTAAACACCTGGTCCACACACCCCCTACCTTTCCTAAAGCCTCCTTGTTCATCTGCTATCCTATTCTCCGTCTTACTCTTAATTCTTTCAATTATAACTCTACCATACACTTTACCAGGTACACTCAACAGACTTCTTTCTTTCTTTCAACGTACCAGCCGTATCCCACTGAGGTGGGGTGGCCCAAAAGAAAAAACTGAAGTTTCTCCTTTTAAATTTAGTAATATATACAGGAGAAGGGGTTACTAGCCCCTTGCTCCCGGCATTTTAGTCGCCTCTTACGACAAGCATGGCTTACAGAGGAAGAATTCTGTTCCACTTCCCCATGGAGATAAGAGGAAATAAACAAGAACAAGAATTAGAAAGAAAATAGAAGAAAACCCAGAGGGGTGTGTATATATATGCTTGTACATGTATGTGTAGTGTGACCTAAGTGTAAGTAGAAGTAGCAAGACTTACCTGTAATCTTGCATATTTATGAGACAGACAAAAGACACCAGCAACCCTACCATCATGTAAAACGATTACAGGCTTTCGTTTTACACTCACTTGGCAGGACGGTAGTACCTCCCTGGGCGGTTGCTGTCTACCAACCTACTACCTACAACTCAACAGACTTATCCCCCTATAATTTTTGCACTCTCTTTTATCCCCTTTGCCTTTATACAATTATACAATTATACATTAAGATACACAAGAGAAGATACACATTAATTAAGTTTCCTGTGCACCTTCTAATGTCATGTGGCTTCAGGTTTCAGCAGCAGCAGCAACAACAGCATTAGCTCAGGGAACAACAGCCTTGCAACTGGCAAGCCCAGATGGAGTGAGCCACCTCTTATACCACCTCCAGACACTGGCCAGGTAGGAATAATAGGTTACCTACTGCAGTATAAGTATGCAAACTAATACGTATTGAAGTACATTAATACAGTAGAAGCAAGATTCACCCGCTTGAGGGAATGTCAGCAACAGTTTTCCGGATTTCCAATAAATTTTCCAAATTATTGCTCATTTTTTCAGATTGCTGATTATTTTTCCCAATTATGTATTGGAATTTTTTCTAGATTATTGACCATTTTTCATATTACTAATTATAGTGTAGGTGAATGGTTCAGAGAACCGACAAGTTGATAAATTAGACACGTGTGCAACACTTGGGTATCTTTAATGAGGAAACGTTTTGCCACACAGTGGCTTCATCAGTCCATACAAAGGAGAATGGTGAAGAACAGGAGGAGTTTGAGGTAATCAGTCCCTCAGCCTTGAGTCGATGTGGTCAGTCTATCAATCTTGAATAGAATACAGCATATGTGTGGAGAAGTAGCTTATATACCGTAGGCAGGAGAGGTGCAGCAGTCGTAAGTGGTGTCACATTTGTCCAATGTGGAAGTAGGTCATGCCCAAGGGTTAGGCAAGTGAAGAATTCCTTGTATTAAGATCCCAAGATGTTGTCGGTTCTCTGAACCATTCACCTACATTCCTGTCTGACACGGCAACCTCTTGGGATCTTAATACAGGGAATTCTACTCTTGCCTAACCCATGGGCATGACCTACTTCTACATTGGACAAATGTGACACCACCTACGACTGCTGCACCTCTCCTGCCTACGGTATATAAGCTACTTCTCCGCACATACACTGTATTCTATTCAAGATTGATGGACTGACCACATCGACTCAAGGCTGAGGGACTAATTACCTCAAACTCCTCCTGTTCTTCACCATTCTCCATTGTATGGACTGATGAAGCCACTGTGTGGCAAAACGTTTCCTCATTAATCCCTAAACTGTCCAAACATAGATCTACGTTCGCTCACGTAGTGCTCCGAACGTAGACCTACTTTTTTTTACATGCTTTCAAATGGGGAAAATCAAGGTCAGAGCACTATCCGCGTAAACGTAGATCTACGTTTGGACAGTGTTGCACATGGGTCTAATTTATCAACTAATTATAGTAATTTTTATAAAAATATTCTGGATAACTGAGCATTTGAAAATTGATTGTTACATTACCGATGCTTGATTGTTCAGTATACAGCAGTTGTGCTAACTTTGGCACTTAAGATTCATTAATCTTGTTGAGGTTTATTTGCTACATCCCAGATCTCTTGCTTGATTTGGAGCTCAGTAATGGAAACCCCAACTTACAGTGCCAAAGGTTACACACATCAGCATTAACAAATGGGTTACTTAGGAATCATTTAAACTTTTACAACCTTGTATGTGCTGTGTGCAGATGTTTGTAACATAACCAGATTTTGTACTATTGTTTTCTATGCGGATAATTCTGGTAAGCCCTGAAACTGGCAATTCAATTTGGTTGTACCTCAGTTCTCTAAAGAGGTTAAGGACAGTCCTGTCAAAGACCACTACTTAATGTCTTTATCTTTTTTTTTTTATATTTTGCGAGCTTTCTCATATTTACTAACTTTGATCAAAAAGTCTTGTGATCACACTTGTTGCAGTAGTATCTACTTTTCCTAACAAAATATGATTCCACTTTCAGGACAGGACGTTGCGCTCTCCTTCTCTGTCTGCTTGGGTTAGTCAATTTTTTCATTTTTTAAAGTTTTTAAAATTTTGATTAAATGATATAACAATAGTATACAGCCCTGAGCTGGCACTCCCATAGTTACAACTGTCTTGTTTGTATATTATGTCTGTAGTAAACAATAACTCAGGAGTACCAACTCGGGGCCTCCTACAAGTGAAACGCCCATTAGTTTTATCTTGTTTTGCACATAAAAGTTTGAAAATAGAAATATGGTATCTAAATGTCAAACATTTTGTAGTACAGCAAATCTCTTCAGTCACTTTTATTTTTAATTACTAAATTTCTAACAGTCTTGTGCTGTAGGTTGTATATACAGTCTGTGTATTAATTTCCAAAAAAATTATCAAGCATATACTGTATTTACCCACCCAGACATATACACTGTATGCCACACCCAGCTGAGTTCAGGATTAAGAGAAACATTGACCAGACATTTTTTTTTTTTATCATTGACAAAATTTCTATTGATATTGATGCAAATTATGTTAAAATGAAATTGTCTTCTAGGCAAATTGATGTATCCACATAGCATCAGCTCTAGGTTGATGCTGTGGGTTTTCATTTCACAGATGGTAATTATCAGTTATTGTCGGCAACTGTAATGTGCCTTTTTGTGTTCATATACACACATGTTCAATCTTCTACCTGTTCCATTTGCAGAGACTTTATTGGAACATTCCTTACAAAGGAGAAATTAAACATCTTTTCTGAATTAACTCTGTGCTGAATTGTAACTGATAATGTGTTGATATTGTTACTATCAGTGTGCTTAATTCATGCATTCTCCATGACAGGGAATTTTTATCCCTTGTAATTTTTCATTATAACGTAACCAAAGCATTTACAGTACAGCCTCTCCTCACTTAACAATTGAGTTCCCTTCCGAAGACTTCGTTGGTAAACGAATTTGTCGCTAAGTGAGGAGCATACTATATTGGCAATGGGTTTATGTCATCCATCTCTGATATTGTTTTAATGTCACCTTTGCACATTTATAACATTTCTGGTATATTTTTAAATATTTATACAGTACTGTACTGTATACTGTAATAAACAGAATAGAGGAAATCAGCTCTAATATACATTATTTAGGTATGCATACTGGTCAGAGAGACTGTTGTAAGTCCGAGTCGTCAGTAAACGAGTATGTCGCTAAGTGAGGAGAGGCTGTACTTAAATCTTTAGGTATTTGGTACTTGTATTGCATACCATAAAAAAAAATTCTTATAAAGTAAACTTAAGAAATGAAGCAATCGGGATTATGAAGCTCTACGAAAATATTACATATCTTAGATATTTCTTCATTTATATATACAGTGGACCCCCGCATACCGCACGCATCGCTTACCGTACAATCCGCATACCGCTCGCTTTTTTCGCAAAAATTTTGCCTCGCATACCGCCCAAAAACCCGCTCACCGCTCTTCGTCCGAGACGCGTCCAATGTGCGGCCTGAGCCACGCTCACATGTTCCGCCGGTGGCATTGTTTACCAGCCAGCCTCCGCGGTAACATCCAAGCATACAATCGGAACATTTCGTATTATTACAGTGTTTTTGGTGATTTTTCTGGAAAATAAGTGACCATGGGCCCCAAGAAAGCTTCTAGTGCCAACCCTACAGCAATAAGGGTGAGAATTACTATAGAGATGAAGAAAAAGATCATTGATAAGTATGAAAGTGGAGTGCGTGTCTCCGAGCTGGCCAGGTTGTATAATAAACCCCATTCAACCATTGCTACTATTGGTGGTACAGCTGCTGATGCTGCTGTACCACCGTCAGCTGCTGCTGCTCTTGTACCACCGTCAGCTGCTGCTGCTGCTGCTGCTGTAGTACCGTCTGCTGCTGCTGTAGCATCGTCTGCTGCTGCTGTAGCATCGTCTGCTGCTGCTGTAGCATCGTCTGCTGCTGCTGTAGCATCGTCTGCTGCTGCTGTAGCATCGTCTGTTGCTGCTGTAGCATCGTCTGCTGCTGTTGTACCACCGTCAGCTGCTGCTGCTGCTGTAGCACCGTTGTTGGTGTGGCTTATTGAGAATACCAAGAAACAATTAACCCCAGAGGATTTGCCACCCAGGATAACCCAAAAAAGTCAGTGTCATCGAAGACTGTCTAACTTATTTCCATTGGGGTCCTTAATCTTGTCTCCCAGGATGCAACCCACACCAGTCGACTAACACCCAGGTGAACAGGAAAAAATGCCTGGAACTAGTGCTCATATTGGTGAATTTAAAGCCAGCAAAGGTTGGTTTGAGAGATTTAAGAATCGTAGTGGCATACACAGTGTGATAAGGCCTGTTCTGGAAGAAAATGCCAAACAGGACCTACAGTACTCAGGAGGAAAAGGCACTCCCAGGACACAGTGTCTCATCAGTCATTGCTGCATCTTCAGTAAAGGTAAGTGTCATTTATTCTTCATTTAGTAGAGTAGTACATGCACAATATATATTGTGCATGTACTACTCTACTATTGTGCATGTATCCTTCTCTTTGTGTGTAGGAAAATGTATATTTCATGTGGTAAAAATTTTTTTTCATACTTTTGGGTGTCTTGCACGGATTAATTTGATTTCCATTATTTCTTTCTTATGGGGAAAATTCATTCGCATACCGAACATTTCGCATAACAATCAGCCCTCTTGCACGGATTAAAGTCGCTATGCGGGGGTCCACTGTACCTTCGACAACATGCAATCAATCTACTCATTGCTGCTGTGCCTGTTCTTAGTTATTATGCCTTAAAAGTATTATGTTAATGTGGAGTTGCTCATCTTGCATATATTTCTTCAATGGCTTTAACATAAGTTTACTCAGTTCTTGGTTTCACTCAGTCAAGCATTAATTTTAGGTACAAACACATTTCAAAGATCTGATATACCTTAGAGGGCTACCAAAATTTTGTTTAAAACTCGCTGAATACATGGTCAAAAATAATGATGATATTCTATACAATCATCCAAACTTTCTTCCAAGGTGAGTTACCATAAATGGTGAACATAATCTGTTCTTACTGGAATTATCTGCTTAATATATAATTCCGCTTTCAGGATAGGACGTTGAGCTCCCCTTCTCTGGCTTCTTGGGTTAGTCTCTTTGTTTATTTTAAGTTTTTAAGGTTTTGAATAAAAAGTGTATAATTTGCATTTTGTTCATTACATTACCCTGAGTCGGTAGAAAATATATACCAGTGCAGTAATAATGTAGAGTGCTTATAAGGTAGTGTCTCTAAAGAGAATCTTTTAATATTTTGTTAAATCACTTGACAGTTGAGTATATTACTAGTAACCCTCATCTTGTAATCAGTGTCTTGCAATAGAGCTTTAATAGTCTGGTACAAATGAAAAATTCACTTAATTATTTTGGCTACTTGGAATACATATTAAAGCTAGCAAATATGACAAAAATATCTAAAGTCCAACATATATAAACTAGATTCATCAACAGAGGACTCATGTAGACAAAGTGAAAAATGCAAAGTGCTAACATTCCGCTCCCTTTAACTGTGTTAGGTGCACCTGCTAGAGAAAATTAGCCTTATGTCTGAATACACAAATTACTGACTTGTCAAGCAAAATTGAAGAAATTAAGATCAGCACAATTAAAAAATGAAATACGTATAACTAATATGAGACACAGATCACTCTTCGATATCCCTTGTGTTCATCTCTCCCAATGCAAAAATGCTATGCACGTAAAAGGCTCGAAGATCTGGAATTCATTGCCAGAACACACTAAAGGACCCCTGTCTGCAAATCAGTTGAAGGCCCTACTAAGAAATCGCCTCATCACCTAAAATTAACCAGACAAACCGAACCTAATTGCTACCAGTTTCTCAAAAGCTACTTCTATTGTGCTGATGAATGCTCAACCACTTACTACTTTGAAATTAGGATGTCCATTTTTTCATTGTTTTCAATAGTAGTAGATTGTAATACAGTATATCACAATGTAAATTATTCCATTGTAATAACAAATTTCATTGCTTTAAATAGTACTAAACTGTAATACATCATATTGTAAATTGTTTTAAATTGTTAAATTGTAATATTGTAATCTTTATTAACTAATTCAGTAGTGTAATAAGTCTCTACTAGACTTGTCAAAACCATGTAGCATTACCTGATAGAATATGCAGTTCTACTGTACTCACTAACTCATCTCATGACCATATGAACTATGTATTATTGCCTTACTAATCTTAAGTTAATCTCTAAGTTTGCCCGAAATGCTCTGCATACAAAGGGCTTTTGGCATGTACACCCAACTATTATACAACCATGTAATTTGTCAAAATAAACGTCTTTATCTTATCTTTAAAATTTTATGACATTCATTCTTTGAGGCAAATACATTTACACAGAAATACGTACAGGGTTTGTGTTTCATTATGTAAGTTCAGTTGTTCACTGTGTAAAGAAATTAGTCTACAGAGCACTGTGTATCTTACATTTTTTGTAATGATTGTCACTTGTTAATTGTTTGTTTGAAATTGTTAATTTACATTGACTTTATTTTTTCTGTTTTTTTAGTGAGAAAAACTAATCACCTTTCTCATATCTGTTGATGCTTGCCTTTCCCAGTGTACTATATCATCAGTACTCTTAACTTGAAAACATGCTTAACTTTACCCAACCTTGACTGTCTCGTTACCTCCTTTTGCACTTGCTTGACCTCTGGTTTTCTTCCCTTTTCTTTTTTTTTTACTTGTGACATGATGGTCAAGGATGGACTAATTGTTGTGATGCTGATCATCCACATTAACTTTCATTAACATTAAAATACAACTGATACAAGCATTGGTGCGCATATTTATTTGACGAGTAAGGCACATTCTGTTTTTATTTTTCATATAATTCTTCCTAGGTAGTAGGTTGGTAGACAGCAACCGCCCAGGGAGGTACTACCGTCCCGCCGAGTGAGTGTAAAATGAAAGCCTGTAATTGTCTTACATGATGGTAGGATTGCTGGTGTCCTTTTTTCTGTCTCATAAACATGCAAGATTTCAGGTACGTCTTGCTACTTCTACTTACACTTAGGTCACACTACACATACATGTACAAGCATATATATACACACCTCTCTGGATTTTCTGCTATTTTCTTTCTAGTTCTTGTTCTTGTTTCTTTCCTCTTATCTCCATGGGGAAGTGGAACAGAATTCTTCCTCCGTAAGCCAAGCGTGTTGTAAGAGGCGACTAAAATGCCGGGAGCAAGGGGCTAGTAACCCTTTCTCCTGTATAAATTACTAAATTTGAAAAGAGAAACTTGTTTTTCTTTTTGGGCCACCCTGCCTCGGTGGGATACGGCCGGTTTGTTGAAAACAAAGTAATTCTTCTTGGTCTTGTCTTTATAAAGCTTATCATATTATTATAGAAAATGGTGTAGGGTTACTGAAAATATAATTCTGAGGGTTGAGGTGGCTAAGGCACTTAACCCATTGAGGGTCCAGACTCCCGATCTGAAACTTGTCCATGGGGTCCAAGAATTTAAAAAAAAAATTTGCTATTTTTTCTTATGAAATGGTAGAGAATCTTTTTCTGAAGGTAATAACACAAAAAGTATGGAATTTGATGGAAAATTGACTAAATTTACGCTATCGTGAATTTTGCTGTATCGGCAATATTTGCGCATTGGTGATTTTGCTCACTTTGAGTTATATTTTAGGCCACTTACATTGTTCTAGTCAACCAGATTATTAGCTTTTTTTTGCTAGTATGCCTTCCATTTTATTGACTGAGCACAAGAAACTGCCTAATCAACTATTTCAACTGACCAGTAAAGTGATCAGAAATTGGTAATTTGGCCAATTTCTTACAAATTTTAAAATATTCCGATTTCAGAATAGTATCTAGTAGGTTGGTAGACAGCAACCACCCAGGGAGGTACTACCATCCTGCCAAGCGAGTGTAAAATGAAAGACTGCAATAGTTTTACATGATGGTAGGATTGCTGGTTTCTTTTTTCTGTCTCATAAACATGCAAGATTTCAGATATGTCTTGCTACTTCTACTTACACTTAGGTCACACTACACATACATGTACATGTTTATGTATGCACACTCATTTGAGTTTTCTTTGATTTTATCTTAATTAGTCTTGTTCTTATTGCTTTTCCTTTCATATCCATGGGGAAGTGTAATAAGAATCTTTCCTCCGTAAGCCATGCATGTTGTAAAAGTCAATTAAAATGCCAGGAACAATAGGCTAGTAACCCTTTTTCCCGTATAGCCTACTTAAAAGAAAAAGAAGAAAGCCGTCAAAGTGGGATGTTTGAATGTGCATGGATGTTGTGCGAATGATAAGAAAGAGATGATTGTGGATGTTATGAATGAGAAGCTGGATGTCCTGGCTTTAAGTAAAACAAAGCTGAAGGGGGTGGGAGAGTTTTGGTGGGGAGAAATAAATGGGATTATGTCAGGGGTTTCAAATAGTTAGAACTAAAGAAGGGGTAGCAATAATGTTGAAGGATAAGTTATGGCAGGAAAAGAGGGAATATAAATGTATAAATTCAAGGATTATGTGGAGTAAAATAAGGGTTGGATGTGAAACGTGGGTTATAGTAAGTGTTTAGGTACCTGGAGAAGAGAGAAGTGTAGAGGAGAGAGAAAGATTTTGGGAAATTTTGAGTGAGTGCGTGGGGAGTTTTGAACCAAGTGAGAGAGTACTTGTGGTTGGGGATTTCAATGTTAAAGTAGGTAAAAATTTTGTGGAGGGAGTAGTAGGTAAATTTGGGGTGCCAAGGGTAAATGAAAATGGGGAGCCTTTAATTGAGCTATGTGTAGAAAGAGGTTTGGTAATAAGTAATACATATTTTATGAAAAAGAGGATAAATAAGTATACAAGGTATGATATAGCATGTAATGAAAGTAGTTTGTTAGATTATGTATTGGTGGATAAAAGGTTGATGGGTAGGCTTCAGGATGTACATGTTTATAGTGGGGCAACTGATATATCAGATTATTATTTAGTTGTAGCTACAGTTAGAGTAAGAAGTAGATGGGGCAAAAGGAAAATGGCAGCAGCAAGTAAGAGAGAGGTGAAAATGTATAAACTAAGGGAGGAGGAAGTTAGGGTGAGATATAAGCAGCTGTTGGCAGAAAGGTGGGCTGGTGCAAGTATGAGTAGTTGAGGGGTTGAAGAGGGTTGGAATAGTTTTAAAAATGCATTATTAGCATGTGGGGCAGAAGTTTGTGGCTATAGGAGGGTGGATACAGGAAGAAAGAGGAGTGATTGGTGGAATGATGAAGTAAAGGTAGCTTATGGGAGATTTTTACAAAGCATAAGTGTTATAAGAAGAGCAGAGTATATAGAGAGTAAAAGAAAGGTAAAGAGAGTGGTGAGAGAGTGCAAAAGGAGAGCAAGTGATAGAGTGGGAGAAGCACTGTCAAGAAATTTTGATGAAAATAAGAAAAAGTTTTGGAGTGAGATAAACAAGTTAAGAAAGCCTAGGGAACGAATGGATTTGTCAGTTAAAAACAGAGTAGGGAAGTTAGTAGATGGGGAGATGGAGGTACAGTGGACCCCCGGTTAACGATTTTAATCCGTGCAAGAGGGCTCATCGTTATGCGAAATAATCGTTATGCGAATTAATTTTCCCCATAAGAAATAATGGAAATAAAATTAATCCGTGCAAGACGCCCAAAAGTATGAAAAAAATTTTTTTTTACCACATGAAATGTTAATTTTAATACACACAAACTGAAAAAGGCATGCACAATTACATGACACTTACTTTTATTGAAGATCTGGTGATGATTGATGGGATGGGAGGAGGGGAGAGCATTATCTTCTTACTGTTTAGAAGGGGAATCCCCTTCCATTAGGACTTGAGGTAGCAAGTCCTTTTCTGGGGTTACTTCCCTTCTTCTTTTAATGCCACTAGGACCAGCTTCAGAGTCACTGGACCTCTGTCGCACAACAAATCTGTCCATAGAGCTCTGTACCTCCCGTTTCTTCAAGACTTTCCTAAAATGGGCCATAACATTGTCATTGAAATAGTCACCAGCACGGCTTTGCAACAGCTGTGTCAGGGTGATTTTCATCTATAAAGGTTTGCAGTTCAAACCACTCTGCACACATTTCCT